AGGGCATTGGATAAAATAAAAGCATATCTTTTTAAATACCTGCTCAAAATTGATTTCATAAATTTGTTTAATAAATTTCATCATTTAATATTCCTAGAAATTTTAAAATTTATAAATAATTAGTATGTTAATAAACAATCTACTAAACTCAACAACTGTAACATTTGTATGTTACCAAAATCTCAAGAATTAAACAATAAATCGATTTTGTTTCTCAAGCAATAATGTGAACTGTATGTGTCGGCGCCAGCGTTAACAATTGAATACCACATTTTAATATACTTTAATTGCTAATAGCACTAACCTCAAACAATCACATATGTGTGATTTTTCATACGGTCTGCTGAATGCACTTGCCACGTTTTAATATTTTTTTAAATCCTTCCATAAACAATGCATGAATTTCTGTCCGCCGGAAAATTAAAAAAAAATAAATTAAAAAGAAAGAAGGGATGTAACTAGACGACTCAGTCCCCCCCACCCCCCAACAAAAGGCGAACTGGAACGACGAGCGGCTCAGCTTCGATGGCAACCCCCGCTCCTCCCACGTTCGCCCACTCGGGGCCCTCAGCCCAGCACACAAGACCGCCGCGGCAGCACCAGCAGCAGCCCAGCGCAGGCGCGCGCAGGGGCCAGCGCTGGGCGGGCCGCCGCTCACGGCGCTGATCTTGTGGTCGAGGTCGTTGGCGCTGGTCTCGTAGGTGGCGCCGCCCGGGCCGTCGTAGCGGTACGTCGTCTTCCAGCCGCCGCCCGGCGCCGCCACGCGCGTGCGCTCCTGCGCACATCGACATGTCGCTGCAGTCCACACAACCAGTTGAAGCTTATGATAATGGTGAATGCAGTAGTGAAGAATAGCACGATATCGAGACCGAGAGATGTGGCTCAGGGCGTCAACTGATGGTCCTCTGACCGCGAGGGCCTAGGTTCGAGACGGTGGCAGGATTTTCGACACAAGCTTGTCAGCTTGGTCCAATTCAGTCGCGGACTGGAGAAGAGTTCTAACGGCCGGCTGCTTTGATCAAGAGTTTTCCATGGTTTTTGCGATCAACACCAGGCGAATGCCGGAGCAGTACCCTAACAAACGGGCCACGGGCCGTGCGCGATCTTTCCTTCTCTTTCCTTGTCGTATCCTCACCTAGGGTTGCCAGATTGGGCGATATTCCGCTTTTTTCGGGGGGCTGGAAAACGGCCCTCTCGTGGGACAAAAATTGATTTTGTGGAATACCACGCAACAGGCGGAAATGCATAGAAATATGTACGGTTTAGAAGGGAAGTTTCAGATTTCCGATGATGGTTTCTTTGATAACTTTTATATTTGTTTTAAAAAAATTACATATTCGGTTTCGAAAATTGCACTTTTGAGACTTGTAGCAGATGTAGCAGAATTGTAGCAGGATGTTGATAGATGCTTTACATAATATGATTCATGTGTATTAAATTTTTGTTTTAAATACCATATCAAATTCACCCTCGTTTAGGGAAGACTTTGATACCCTAAATTAAAAATCATTATAAGACCTGTTTTAGAGATAATAATGTCAGTTTCGACCCTCTTTGAATTTGGATAGTTTTCTTTTTAATCTTAAATATAAGGGTGACTTTGATAGAAATGGCTGAACTTCTACGTTTGAAATAACAGGCAACAAGGAATTACTTTTATATTTTGATAATTTTAATGAATAATTCTAAAAAAGGATAAATCTTTTATGTAAGTAATCTCTTTACTAGAATTCTTTTACACACGTACAGAACCATTAGAGGCTCTAGCTGGATAATGGTAAAAAGTGGCCCGGCTAGAAATAGAAAATACAATTTTGTGACCACGAAAAATATTTTTTCATGAAGATTTAGATTTCTTCCCCAGCACGTTCTTCGAAATAAGGGAAATGTTTTTTTTTTTGTTTTTGTTGTTGTTGTTTTTCATTAAATTGACCGTATGAATTTCCTGAGCAAATAATGATTGTTTATGTAAAACTTACCCATTTTTTCACAAATAATTTTCAAAATTTTATTTGCCGCGAAATTCAAACTTTTGAATGAATTTTAATATGTTGGAATATTTTTAATCAAATTTTAATTTCGTCAGGTCCATGAGAAAATTCTCAAACGTTGCCCTATATATCAGGTGTTTTCTGGATTTTTTCAGACTTTTTAAGTGATGCACAATGTTTAAAAAATTAAAATACATGTAATCTTAATCACTACAAACATATTCTTGAAGGTTTTTCACACGATGCGACAAATCATTCCTTGTAGGTGAGGTGAGGTTCCACTTTCTATATAAAAAGTCCTCTCTATAAAAATGCGTATTAATTACTAGACGAATTTGATACATATGAAATCAACGATTTTAATAAAGTAATATCCGAAATGAACTGCAAACTATTTACACAACAATGCAGAGCTAATAAACGAAAACCGAATAACATGGAGGGCTGGAATGTTTTCTTGGACTTGGAGAGTAACAGCTAATCAGTCTGAAGTCTGAAGACTTAAATTTGATTCGTTGTTACACAGCATCCTCGGGAGCTTTTCACTTTCGTGTTTACATCACAATGTCCTATGCGAAAAATTGCATCCGTTAAAACGAAAGATAATTTAAAAACATCTGCGGAAAATATAGACGATGTATTCAAATAGTTTTTTAAAACAAAAGTGTTTCCTCAAAATTGTGAATTATATAAAATTCTTTACAAGTGTATAAGATTCTGAAAATGGTTTCCAAACATCATCTGTTAAAATTTGTAATTTTGTTATCCTTTATATTTACGGCCATTGACTATTATATGAAGAAAATTTTGTCAAACGTATTTAGAAAATCTCAATTTCTGGCATTACAATTATCAAATAAAAATTATTTATAGCTTGGAACTATTCTAATTCATTCCTCCCTTGTCTACACTCGGGGACGACGTTAGGCGTTGTCAACATCAGAAAATATAAGGAACAAACATATGGAGGTTTAAAAGCAACTAATTAATTACATCTTTTACACACAAAACTTTGTCAGATCTAAAGATCTGACAGCTGTTGGTTTATGTATTTCAACGCTTTGAATTAGAATCTGAAGCCAGAATCGCGCGACCACCTTCCAACTTTCTTAATCGCATATAAAAAACATCGTGATTAAAAAAATTGTTTTCGCTTGTTGTTGTCAGCCCCAACCACTTGACACCTGTTTCTCTATGTATATCGACAACACGAATTCGAATCTGAAGCCGGAATTGCACCACATTTGAAATAACAGGCAATTCTTCTTGAATCGTAAAAACTATCGTGAAATTGTATTTTTTTTTTGTGTTCGGGGGTTGTCAGATTAAAAGACTTGACATACGTTTCTCTATGAATGTCAACGCGCTAAATCCAAAATTGAAGCCAAAATTGTGCCACCGACCTCCAGTTTTTTTTAAATTGAAAAAAAGAAAGAAAGAAACGTGAAATTTACAATCAACAATTTCACGGCGTTTTTCCGCAATTTAAAAAAAAGAAACTGGAGGGTGGTCGCGCAATTCTGCTTTCAGATTCGAACGGATTCATCATGTCGCCATACACCCAACAATTTTTTCTGTGTGTCGGAATTATTACTCTGAAAACCATCGATGTTTCTAATCCGCCTATCGACGCCGCGATGCCGCGTCCTTACCTGGTGGAAGCCCCGATGGTCGTACGACTCTTGGCGCTTGATGTTGGTGGCGAACTCGTACGTCTTGACGTTCTCCTCCTCCGCCGGCGCCCCGCCGCCCACGCCCACGCCCGCGCCGCCAGACGTGCTGCCGCTGCGGAAGTTGTTGATGTCCTGCGAAGGGAGATGGCTTCTGAGCCGAAGGACACGCCGGCGCCAGATCGCGCGTTTTCAGAGGGAAGGAACTCTGCCACATCCCGCGATAAAATAATTACTACACGTACGGAACTAATAAACATGGCCAACTAAATAATTTGCTAACCATATAATAAGCGATCATCCCAGTCATAAACAAGAAATTCTGTATTTAATGACACGTTTCAATTTCATTTGTGAGATCCTCTCCGGTATCTGAAAATACATTACAACAATTTAATTTAACAATTAAATTTAAGGGATTAAAATACTCAAACTGCATAATCTATTCACTATAAATAAGTTGTACCCGTTACTATTTAAGGTTACGTTATCATGTTGAATATTTTGTCATAGATGTTAAGATTGACAATTCGGAAAACAGCCTCTTTTATTGGCATGTGACAATGTCAATTCGCTAACAACATATTTATATTTAATAATGATTTAGCATTTTGAGAATTGTAAACATTTAAATTTGACTTTTACAACTATGCTTAAAAAACTGTTTTTGTAACAATGTATTTTCCGATAATGAAGATGATCCCACGTAGGTCATTAATACGCCTATCATTTTTAATTTGTGACTGGAATCATAGCTTATTATTTGATTGTATAAATCTAGTGAACTTTTTAATAACCATAACATTTGACGTGAACGGGAATACTAATCAATCAGGCGCCAATGACCACATATGCCGGGAGACTGGTCGAGAGCTTAGAACTTGTCCCGGCTGGGGCGGTGCCGCGCAGGGGTAGATACCTGGTAGGGGAAACCCACTCTAGCCGATGGTAGTCCGCGCCGGATCTCACCATCCAGTGGGGTAAGAACACCGCCAGCTCCCGAGCGAAATCATACACTATACTTACTGGACTAATGACATTATCAGTTGTCGCGCTCGGAATCACTGGTAATCGCATTGTATTGTACGGTATTATTATTAATAATATTATTATCATTATTAGTATTATTATTATTAATGTAAATGTTGTAATTTTTGCAATTATTGCCACTTAACTGTCACCGGGTCATACCCAATTGCAGTTCTAATTATGTAAATGTAAAGTAATCAATGATCAACCAGCGCGCAACCTACCTGGGAGTCTTCCAAGCCCGTGTCGAGGCCGCGTTGGCACGCCGAGCCCGCCGCCGCCGGCGCCGAAGGCGGTTGCTGGTGGGCAGTCAGCTTGGCGGTTCGTGCATGCTGCGAAGTACGCGCGGCACGCTGGGCACGCTGGGGATGTCGAGGTGCGGCGTGTCGTGGAGGTCGCCGAAGCCCGTGTCGAGGCGCGGGGGCACGTAGTCCTGGCCCAAGGAGATGTCGGCGCTGCCGCCGCCCCCGTACTGCGAGCCCATGTCGTGCGACAGGTGCGTCAGGTCGATGTCGGGGCCCGTGTCCACGCTGCCGCCCGAGTACTCCTTCAGCTTCGCGTCGGGCAGCGTGTCGGTGTCCGACACCGACGTCACCACCACGCAGTTGGTGTCACGGCTGTGCCGCTGCTGCAGGGTCTCGATCACGTCCTCCTGCAGGACATGTTGAGACAGGCTCGCTCACCCACGTAAGAAATAGCGCAGCAGATACTTTGTAACACTGAGTACAATAAAGTATGTTTTTACTTTGTAAAACGGCAGCTGCTAAAAATACACTTGTGCTAAGTGAAATACGAGAGCGTCAGTTTAATATGTTCAATGTGAAAAGGGAACAATTTTCAAGTAAATCTTAATTATTTTATACAAGAATAACATTTCAGTAATTTAAAAAGTTTAAGTTGTGAAAATTACAATAGTGAAATCAATTACGTTATGCTCACATCATTTACATTTCACTTCACTGTTCTTATTTTATCAAGTATCCTCTTTTAATTATTGACAAGTAACCACACTTATCACCACAACAGAAAAGTCAAATAAACACCCCAATAGTTTTAAAAAACTTATATTTGTTATACGTTCTCCCGTTTGTGTTTATCAATCAGCGAACCTGGAATATTGCATTATGATTCCGTGTTCACGCACGTAACAATTTAGTCAACAGCCAAATCTGACTCGTCATATGAACGCTAGTGTACATTTATTGACACTAACACATGTGACAAACAGTGCTGACTAAAAGACAATTGGAAAATGAAACTTTTCCCTCAGTTATCTTTTTACAGTCTCGAAAGCTGAAAGCTCCGTATCTCTTAAATTACTTTGTAATCAGACTTCGCGTTAGGACTAAATTGAAGTCATCACAATATTTACGTTCCGGATTCAAACCAAGATCTAACACAAGATGGTGTTACAGATTTGAGATTTCCAAACGCAATTTCCTTCATTTATGGTAAATTATGAAATTAATGAAGGGAAAGTGGTTTAAAATTAATTTCTCTCCCACATTCATTTGTTGGCTGACCATTAACATAGAAAAAGATGTTGGCTGAAATTTTCCAATTTCAATTTTTAATGGGGAAAACTTAATTTAACTGGGTTAATATTCTAAAGAAGGATATTCTGAAGTGAAACTTTTATCTACTTATGTCAGTGTAAAAATTTTGCTCTTAGCGTATGCGCTAAGTATAAGTAGTAGCAAACATTTGAAAAAATTAAAATCTTTAATTGTTTGATGTCTTCATCCATTTTCTCACCATTGCTTGATCCTCTAAATCTAAAATCAATATTATGATACTTGATATCTAAGACGCGGAGTCACTTCAAACATGAATTTACTCTTATTCGCAATGAAAACCGAAAACTTCATTTTATTCTGCAGAATGAGCTTAATCAAATTAAAACCACCGCAATAAAGCCAGTTAAACCTTCATTATCTGGGAATTCTATTACCTGAGATATGTTAATGATGAGATGAATAAATTAAAAAGGATGTCAGTTACAGGTCTCTAACCACTTACATCGGAATGATTTAATTAAATTGATTAGTGAATGAACTTTGAATTGATCGCGGGAAAGAAAAACAGAAATGAAAAGAGGAATACTAAAAAAAAACAAGTGGAGCTACAGCAGTTCGTACTTTCTCGCATTATTTGTAACTGTTACATAACATTATAATACATACAAGAGTAAAATATTCGTGTATGATTTCTGTAAAAGTATTGTAATAGGTTTTTAATTGTATACTACGATATAAATTACCTAATGTATTAATTGTAATTCAAAACAATTTTGTTCTTAATTAACAAATTTGAACCAAAATTATTTCGATTATCTGGGGGTTTTGATTCTCTTTGGAACCCCTTCCCCGTCATTACACCGAATAATGGAAGATTAACTATAAAGTTTTCTGTATTTTCAAACTTATTTCGAGAAAATTATGGTTTTAACTGAAATAATTTATCATGGCGTGTATCAAAACAGATACTGTTTCCCAGTTTACAACTGAAGCATTGACATTGGTTAAGATCTAAGCCTAACCCCTGAATCACGTTTTTTGCGTTTTGTACGCCAATTTAGGCTGAAGTTAAGCACGACGAAACCCAAACAATAATAAAATATTGAACATGTATAAAGAAAAAGAATGTGATAACAAACTACAATCATTGTAACCCACAAAATTGATATACAAAATATTTTTTACAAATTTACGAACTAATATATAATTCGATTTAAAAATTATTGGGACCCCTATCCATCGGGGGCCACGTGACGTGGTCTGCTTGTGCATTCGTCCACCCCTGACCCACTCCACAATGTACTCACATCCTTGCGTATTTTCTCGATCTCGAAGTTCTTGCCGTCGTCCTTCTTGATGTTCTCCTTGTAGCAGCGCACCGTCTTCTGTTTGGTGAGAGGCAGCGGCGTGCCTTGAAGGGACGCCGCGTCGGCCAGCTCGCCGGTAGAAATCAAGGACGACATTCACCGTGATAACACAGTAGCACTAACACACGCCCCCGCGGCAGGGGGCAGCGCCGTTTGCGCTTGCAACGTTATTAGTAGTTAATACTATAAACTTTGATTACATTTGATTTGATATGATTTGATTTGATTTAGTTAGTTAGTTAAAAACAGTGAAAACTGTGTGTGACGTATGAGGGAGAAGATCATCTGCGCACGTTTTCTTGAGTTCCCGAATGCCCTTCCAACATTTTAACCATAAATGGTTGAAATAGTATTGCAATGATTGAAGTATGATGAAGCAAATAATAAAATTTAAAAAAGCGGGTGTTTAAAAAAAACTAGACAGTTTCGTTCCCGAGTTATTTGCATAGGTAAACAAACTCCAGATTTGATTTTTCTCCATTGCTAACAAAATAGTAACTCACCCCCACCAAAATAGTCACTCACTTGTACCACTACAAGTAAAAGAAAAGTGCAACAAAACGTGCGCAAGGTGAAGCCACATTAATAAAGCTACATAAAACTACGAATAATCGAGGAATTTTCGTGAGGAATGACAAGAAATACATGATTAATGTGTTTTGAACATTCATGAAGAAACGTTAACAGGAACTGTGAGTATTAGGTCTAAATTATTTATTTAATAATGAATTAATTCTTCAAAATTTTCTATCCACGTAACTCGGAGGGTGAACGATTATTGGCCGTTCACCTCCAGAAAACTGGTACAATGACAGACGATCAGCGTGGATAAATGCGTTATGAAAAATTATCTTAATTAAAAGTCCAGAAAATTGTTGTAACCCTTCAACAATTCTGTGTTTACCAGCCAGGGAATGAGCCATGTTACAGATCATTTTAACTGAGTCCGTCGTGGCGGACCCTGGAGGGGAAATGTTACTAAATTGTTTGTAATACAAAACTGATTGGTCAGGCTGGGACCTGATAGGTGTCAAAATAAAAGTTTCAGTATTATGCAGTAACATATTAACACGCTTAATTATTATGTGTCATGAGTGTTCATTTTACACGCACACGGAATGTAGAATCGTGTGAACCATACATACAGGAGCCAACGTTAATTTTATTGGCGGCATCAACTTTATAACAACGCCGAAAATACTACTAATGTGCGTACCGCAACATACGGAATAAAGTTAAAAAAGAGGAAAATCAGGAACTGATTATGTTTACGCAAATAAAACGTTATATTACGTAGGGCTACGAGGCCCCTTCTGAAATTTTCAGGTTGGCCATGGCACCCTTGATTCCCCCCCCCTTATGTGGAGGCCTATACTGAATGTTAATTTAAACGGACACATGACTAAACCAACTATATACCTTATTTTTTGTTGTTTCGCCACTTTGAGACTTTCGTGTCGCAACCCAGCTATCCTTCACCCTTCCGCCCTGTTAGGGCTTATCGCCTGTTCGTTCCCGCCGTGTTTCGGAACAGCTCTCGTCGTAAAAAAAATGGTCCACTTGTTACTTGGCCCGAAATTAATTTGTTTCTGCCATCGCTCACTGCAAAGATATTTTCAAAGAGCGCATGTCAAACGTCAATCAATCATATCACGGCGGATATTGTTCTATCGCCAACTACTCTTACGCGAGTTCGACGCGGTGATTCTAAGGCGTACAACTAGGCCTTTTAATTAAGCGGAAATCGACGCATGCCGTCCGATCATTGTGGTACTTTCCGTGTGCCGGTAAAATGATTCACCCGAAAATTGTGCATATGCTGTGTAAATTGTGAATATTCACTAACAAGTGCATGAGATCAGTGTTCCACAATTAGCAACTATAGTGCTATGGTATTTTCACAAGAGATTTGTTGAGAGAACAGGTATAATTTAGTTTTATTCATTAATGCTTGATAAACTCTAGTAAAATATTTATACAAGGATGGAATGGATTGGAAATGTGAAGTTATTTTAATTAAGAGTAATAATTGTAGGTAGAGCAACTTACCGCTCATCGCAAGTTTCCAGATGGATATCGTACATAACACCAGTATTACAGGCACCGGACTCTACGGACGGAAAACAGAGCATGTCCACATATGAGTATGAGCACGTGAGATGATATAACCAAAAATGTTCCATCCCGTGACTCAATATGCGTTTAGTACGGTGCCTACAGATTCCATTAATGAATGCAAATTGAATGAAAGAAAACATAATTCTCATATCTAAAAGTAACAGTAGAATATATTTTTTAATTTCCAGTTTTACTCTGAACTCCTTTAATGTTGCTACTAGTGAACCTTAACCTTAGTAAGCTGCATTGTCAACGTAGTAATTCTTTTTACTAACACGATAATATGACAGAAACTATGATTCAAATAGTTGGTATAAAAGAGAAATTTCAACAGGCGAGATATGCTCGGCAATTTTTATTATTTACCAGAAGTGTTAGTTGTTTGAGAAAATACACAGATCGTTTCCCGTAAAATTGCGATCTAACCTTGTTATACCGTCGACTACATCGGCATCTGAATGGCGGAAGTCTTATGCAACGTTTACAACAGAAGTGCTGGACGATCTGAGAATTTCCACGACTACACGACTGCTACACGAACAAACCGACGAACAGTACTTGCAAGCTGCATGTTTTGCTGACGAGTTCCGTAATAGGCTTTATAACTACGATATAAATAATACTTATTTACTTATGATTCACGTCAACAGATTCTGTAACCTAATGTCAAGGGTAAATGCACAAATTGTACACTGTTCATAACCCACATTCGTTTTACCGTTTTTAAAATAAATAACTAATAAATCTAGTACCCAAACGATTCCAAAAACAATACTTTTACTACGATTTTAAAAATAGTTTTGGGAGCTTTCTTTTATTTCTCTAATCGTGAATGAGCCTAAGCTGAAATACTGAGGAATACCATTCGTAGAGAGGCCAAAGTTCATTTTACTGGTGACAATGGCTCTATAACAATACTGAAAACACTATTGATGTGCCATATACTGCATACAAAATAGTGGTGTTAATGGCCATGCTTTCCAAGGCATGTCCACACCATGTTGTCTACAGGTTCAGATCATGGTATTACTATGTTAACAACAATTTTAAAAGAGTATTCATGAAGCCGACTTTTCTGACTATGAGGGTCGTTGAACATTCAAGTAGAAGGACCTATTGGATTCTAAAGATGTCCGATGTAGACACATCTTGAGTGTAGCGACACAATGATAACAACAATACGCATTTTAATTTAACGTGTCGAAAGACAGAACCAGCTAAGACTATTTACGAGCACGGAAATAAATCTATACGTTTCCAATGTAAACAAGGGATTGTCTTAGCACCAGTGGAACGCCGGAAGAAAATTACGACGGAGGAAAAATATGAATTGAGGCTTGAATTTAACTCTGCCGTAATTGCAGAATTGAATGACTATACAGTAACGGAGGATGCCATAATAAGCGCTCAACGCCGAACAAGGGTTAAGAGTCGCGTTGAACCGCTAGGAAGACGCAACACATTTTTTAAAAACCGTCGTGAAATTATAATTGTTGGATTCCTCAATCAGCTATCTTTTCGCACATCCCATTTCGCTTCGGCAGCAATCGATGTTTTAGAAACTTAGCGGCCGGAGACGTGCGCAGTGTCTAGTACGCGACATCTCACGGGCAGCCAAGTTTCTATTGACTTCGCACGCTGAAGCCTACGCTTCCCTCGACTTGCCTCGCTCCACCTACACTGTCAGAAATGTCCGCATTATTTTAACGAAATTGTGCATTAAAGTAATTATCATGAACGCACATTAATTTTAATGTACACACGTACATTAAAATGTAAACTTGAAGCTTTATGGTTATATCCGGAAGGAAGGTATGAATGATATTGATGGACTGAGAATTATGAATAAATGAGATGAATGATGAGAGGCGGGTGAAACGGGAGACCTTCTACATTAAAACTATACTGATTGTAGCTAATGAATGAAATTTAATGTACAACTATATTAAGCTCTTTTAAATGTAAAAGGTTACATTAAGTTTCATGTACAAAACATTAATATACATTAAATTTAATGACATTTCTGACAGTATAGCTGTCAAGTCCTTCCACGTAATACTATCACGTAATACTTGCTTGCGCGTAATACGCGCGAGTATTACGATTTTCACTTAATACTCGCACAATCATAATTTTCGAATTCGTGTTATGTGTCTCGAACCCTTTCTCGTTTGCAGCGGCCGGTGTATCTTTCTTTGTCCTCTGTTCCTCCTGTCCTCTTACTCTCAAATCAACGGCCAGCCTCTGACCAGTGGTGAGTCGTGCCAGTGCGTGTTTGGACAACAACAAAATAATATAGCAAGCTAATATACAGCAAGCAACGGAAAAATAATATATATATATATATATATATATATATATATATA